TTGAGAGAGAAAGAGAGAGAGCGCGCGGTGATTCACTCACGCTGTTTGTGAAGTTATGTCTCACACAAGGTTTTCAAATTACTTTATAAGTTATTTAATGAAGAAATATGAAGGTGAGTACCTCACCTTCAGCATTATAATTATTTCACCCGCGCCGGACAGAGACTGAGACGGTGCAGCTGCATGTCGTACCAAACCTCTCACTGCAGGCGCGTCATCAGCTTGAGATCGGTTGTTTAAGATCGGCCTTTTTAGAGACCGCCGATCAAACATCCCAACGTGATTATCAGCCGATAGTGATCGGTAGCCGATCAATCGGAGCACCCCTAGTATAAATAATAATTTTACTGGTCCTAAGTCTCAACAAACATTATTATGGTACCATGTATATTAAATAAATGTTCTTAAGTATTCTGATAAAGAAAACACTTTAATAAACATGAGGTCCAAAAAGGGAACAATATTATGGTACTAAAAAATATATAGAAAAGGTGGAAACAAAATGTACAAATTGTCAAAGATAAATATCCCTGATACATGAGATACTAAAGGGCAGTCAAATCAAAAGATCAGAGTGGTTACATTTTATAATAAAATAATTAATTAAAATGAAAATGATCAAAGTACCATAATAATCAATTTAATTCAGTTCCATAGTATAAAGGCCTGTTCACACCAAGGATGATAACTATAAAGATAACAATAAAGATATCGTTCTAAAAATCGTTCTCAATATTAAAGAATAGCAGGGTCCACACCACAGCTATAACGATAAAGGCACAGAGAAACAATATCGTTGGAATCACTTTCAGAACAATTTTTTCCAGCTAAAGAAAGATACAATCATTGACACCCAATCAGAATCCATCCTGCTATAACAAGCTTGAGAATTTAAAGCGGCAGATGAGCATGCGCTTAGAATAAACAGACGATATCGGCCTCTGGTGTGGACGCTAATATTGTTATCTTTATAGTTATCGTTCTTGGTGTGAACAGGGCTTAACTCAAAGCACCACGTCATTTGTAACCATCTATCGCTGTACCGTGGTACTTTTTCGTTTAGTGATGACTCTGTAAACAGAGGTTCAGATGGTTGATCTGACAAGGGCAGCCCTTCACTGTTAACCTCAACCTACACACACAATGCCACTGCTGTCACAGCTGGAGATGGGCGCTCTTCACTGAGAGTGTGTGTATGTGTGTGTGTGTGTGTTTGTGTGTTTGAATGTGCGAAAGCTGCTGCATGTGTGTAGTGTGTGAACAGTATTCTCAGAAGCCCTCTACCCCCAGCTGTCTGCTGTAGCTAATGATTGGTCCCAGGGGGGCTGTTGGGAAGAGGAGTGTAGAAATTGAAACAGACGTTCGCGTCCCTGCCACAACGTGTGTGGCAGCTGGGAGCGCCGCTCCGCCATTCATACGCGGGAGGGAGAGCAGACTCTTAAAGTCATGAATATCAATGGTGAACACGGAGTCAGTGATGAAGCATCAACTGCCAACCTGCCGTGTTTCCAGCGAGCTCATATCACTATATCTGCTTTGTAGAGCCTAAACGGCACTCATGGTAAACACGGTGATCTTGGGAAAAGAAAGAGGCCTTAAGTGAGGGTTTTGTGCTACCACTTATAGAAACAGACAGTCTAAATTTACAGATTATACTGCAGTGCATTTTTACTAATTTAATAATGTCCAATGATAGTACATTTTCATTTATTTAGATACTATTAATAAATAATATTTAAATATTAAAATACAAAATTATTGTCGGTAGTATCTTTGATTAATAAAAATGCATTTTTTTTTTTTTTTAAAGTTAGTGTCAAAGACACTATTATATTATTTTATATACATTTTTTTATTTATTTTAATATATTTTTAAGCAAATGTAATATAATTTAATTATTAAATTATATAAATAATAAAATAATATACAATTATTATGGGTAGTATCTTTAATAATGAAAATAAATGTTAATATATATATAAAAAAAATTTTTGTGTGTGTGTTTGTGTATCTTGCACAAATATGTATCTATATATACTCAAAATTCACTAGTTAGTAATTTACAATTATCTATTTAAATTGAAAAGTGATTAAAATGGTGAAAAGTGCCTTGATAACACTTTCCCTTATGAATTAAAATATTAATGTATACATTTAATCTCATAATCTTGACATTTGATTGAAGAAATTAATTTACAAAAACATTTATAAATTTACATGTATATTGTCCAGATACCACAGTAACATTATCATTAGGACGAATCTTTCTTGCTCGTCTTTGATAAAGATAAAGCAACAATATTGATTGAGAATTATCGTAATTGTGTAACAAGGCTAATTGTTAAACCCTCTAATTTGTCTCTTGCCATGTGTAATTAAGATCAAATCCCACAGTGCATTTGAGTAATCCTCCGCTTCATCATTTATTCATTATCAAGCTGTTCTTATTAAATGCCTCAATCATTATTATTAACCGTGTCTTATCAATAAAACACCACATTGCGTCGGTTTACCATATGAAGCGGTCACCGTACGGAACTGTCGCAGGGAAACCGAAGTGTTAAAGGTAGCATTAGCTAGACGCTAAAGTCATCGGTGCCTACGGCGGATCGGGTGGCTGTAGTTTATTGTCCTGTACCCCCTGCGCCGCCTCCATCTCTCTCTCTTTAAAGAGCATGCTAGCCCAGCGATCCCTCAAGGTAAACCCCCAAATTACGCCTAATGTTCTACACAGGCTAATGGTTGTTGGTGCCATTAGAATATGCGTTATTTAGCTCCGCGGGTTTCAGACACTCCTCGTCAAGCTAATAGAGGTGAAACGGAGGTGTGGTCCAGCTCTTGTTTTTCTCTGTGGTTGTGGATCTTCACTTGTACTGTAAAATGTGGTGGAAGTGGGTTGTCGAACTGTAACCTGTTTAGATGATGTTTAATAACATAAGTGCATCAGTTGTGCTAGGAAGCAAAAAGTTTTTGGTTTTTATTTTATTATTGTGTGCGTGTATATGAAGAGTTCATTTGCAAAAACCGATAAACACCACGTAAAAAAAATTACTGCCATGCGTTATTCTCCACATATAGCACGTTCTGAACCCTAAACACGTTTTGTCACAAAAGTCGGTATTGTCCGCCGTCAAGGCATCGCGAGTTCACGTTTTACAGCAGAAACCAACAAGCGCCCTTTTTGTTTATGAACAGAACCCAACAAGTCCATTTTAGCGAATCAGCGTGCAGTATTCAGGTCAGGTGACAAGGCTGCTAGTCACTTCGAAAAGACTCGCTAGCTGAGAGGAGTTTCGTCTGGTCGCATCTACACTGATATTAATCAGATACGTGCATTATTTGCTTCTGCAGTGTAAGCGGACAGATCGATATTCCCCTGTTAATGCGAGTTGTTATTCCCCTGTTAATGTTAAATATTTTTGAAACATCTCACAGTACAGATATATCTATTACAAATAAAACATCTCTAGTTGACTAGCAGAGTATTTATTAATTTTGTTTGTTTGTTTAAAATAAGTGGCGATCTGCCTCTTGAATGTGTTGCTTTTAAAATGATGCTGAGTGCTGGTTGCCGCTGTTATCAATGCCGGCGACTAGGGATATGCCGGTATCAAATTTTCATGTTGCGAAAGTATTCTTAAAATGCATTCAAAATTCTGAATAATTTGTAATATATAATTATTCACGGTATTTAGAAGTGCCCACGATAACAATATCGTGCATATTCATTACCGTGATATATCGCATTACCGAATACCGGCACAAGTCTACCGGCGACTCATGCACAGACGAGTGCTTCAATCTATTGCTAACTGTTGTGGAGACTCTCTATTAGTTTTGGTGAAAATACAAAATAAAATGCACACAAACCATCACTGATGGACACATTTGTTTTAATGAGGAAAAAAACTATACAAGGGCGGATTAGAACCCCAAGTCCCACTAACTTAGCAATTACAAAGCAATTACTTGGTTTTGTTTACCTTTGAAACACGAAATGTGGAGTTATCTGCTTTGGCAAAAAACGACTGTTGGAGTTGTCTGCTTTTGCTAAAAAAAAAAAACATTTAATGTATTAAAAAACATACTTTCAACGAGCTTTAAGTTTGTAAGGTACCTGTATTTTTTTTTTTATTATTACTTAATCAAATGTGTACTGTGTATATTTATTATGTATATATAAACACACACACATGCATGTATATATTTAAGAAAGATATGTTACGTTTATAAATTTTATATATTTATATATGATATAATTTATATGAATATAAATATACACGTAAATACATGTAAATATTTTCAAAATGTATGCTGTATGTGTGTATCTTTATATATACATAATAAATATACACAGTACACACACATAGTAAACAAAAACTTTTATTTTGGATGCGATTAATCGTTTGACAGCACTAATATATATATACATATATATATGAATGAAATATAATACATAGTTTATATAAAGTTAATACAATTTGGCCAGTAAGAAAAAAAAAGTAGCAAAAATGTTTGTGGAGTTTGACTGTAAGGATTTCAGGTTTTGTCATCTTTGGTTGAACTTCATGTCTGTTTTCTTTCCTCCAGCCAATGGGATGTCAGATCCTCTCAGCTCCGCCCCTGGCATGAACAGTGCCACCAGTCCCAAACTTGAGCCTCCACCATCACCTCATGCCAACCGTAAGAAACACAGACGGAAAAAAAGCACGGGCATCACCAAACCGGATGGCCTTTCTGCAGGGAATGAAGGTAAAGGGATGCAAAACTGTACAAGTTTGTGTTATTTGTACAAAAAATTACCATTTACTGATTCATCTATATCTCACTGTCCCATTGGTAACAAAATAACACAAACACCAGTTGTTCATTGGCTATCAGTAACGGTTTTAGCATTTGTAGGCTTGTTTTAGGTACAAAATGCTCTCATATAAAAAAGTCCAGTTGGCCTGTGGCTAATAAAATAATTCAATCTTTTTCTGAATTAGAAATCTTCATTGTTGATCCATTGTTTTGTGCCATGTACAACAGAGATGATGTGTCATGAAGACGGTACCACTTGGGTTTTATTGCCCGTCCCAATGACAAATACAGTCTCCTAATTGGTTGTTATTGAGGAAACAAAAGCGCTTCCCTCAGGCTGTTTTGTTGCCAATAGGCAAAATCCATCAACTAGATGGACACCGTCCATCAATGATGAAGACACAGACACTTCCTAATAAAATTTTTTTTTTTTTTTTTGGAAAACCATTCAATAAATCCACATTTAGCCTATGTGCATCTTTGAAGTCACACAAAAAGACCACAATCAAGCACTTAAATGATGAAAAAAAATATCTGTAGGTGGTATAAAGACATTTAGGGTTTGAAGAAGGATTTTTGTTTAATTTTCATCCGTTTCAGCTATTTAAATGCGACCAGGATCAAGTTTAATTGTGTTTTTACATGAGCTAAAATTGCATCAAATGATCCAGCGCCACTGTTGTGGCTGTTTTATTAGTTTTAAATGTGTATGGATGACATTACAAGCTCAAGGGATCGCAAACGTGGTCATTTCCCATTGCAGCAGGAGTTAAAGACGTTCTTAGCGCTCGTTCTGTCTCATTACGCAGACAGTTCCTCAAGAGTACGAGGTCTAACCTCTGATTTTCTTAAGCTTGGCTTGGTCATCTGGCAGAATAACAGCGGCTGAATGTGTGTGCGGACGCAATTTCCATCATGAGCGTCGTCGTTTTTGCCCCTGTACAGCCTGAAAGGTTCTATTAGTGCGTGCTTGTCTGTTCTAGTGAGTGCATGCAGAATACAGACATATTGCTTAAGTATGAGAATCACTCACATGGAGCAAGTTGTATCTGCTGAAGGCAGAGGAGTGGGAGAGATGGGAGGGGTGGAGGGGGCGCTTGGATCCTTGAATAAATTGCTATCAGTTTATCTCATTTACGGGGCAATCAAAAGCGGCGAATGCTGGCAGAAATCGAATTTTAGCTGTTGTGAAGCATCATAAATCAAATGTGCTGTCGCTCTCGAAGAAGGTTAGGCAACTTTTTCGTGCTTTGCTTTATGAGCGAACGTCTCCGGGAAGTGTCCGGGAGATTTTTACAGCGCTGATTCACAAATAGTCTCGGGCAGCTGATGGTTTTACGTGAACGTCCACAATTAAGACATGCTTAGACAACTAAATGAAGTCTTTTGATTCAAGCAGGCCTTGACCATTTGAACTGTCTCGACCCTGAGTTTGAGTTGAATCCAACAGCAAACAGGCCTTTAATTCCTGTCTCCATTTGAACAGCTTCAGTGGAGCATCTCCTCCATTCCCGCTGGATGTACGGCGGTATAATGAACATCTCAGGTGTTTAAAAGATGATCCAGGTTTCCTGGTGAGTCGACTGACAGGAGCTTTAATGCCTTTGTGACCATACCTTTATCTTCGCTCCTGTAAAGGAAAGCGATCTGCTCTGCCATTCTGGAGCTTGATTAATCTGGGCTTGCTGTAGTCTTCTATAGGAAACATGCAGTTTCTACAAATCTACTTATTTTGTTTGTAGTTAACAAATAAGGCTGCATTCTCATAGCACACTTGCAATTCTTCCTTTATAGCAAAGAAATAGTTTTTGCTCAATAATTTTGGATAATTAGTGAAGTTTTTAACATATTTAAACATTAAAATGTAATAATAAAATAATTAAATTTAAATATAAAAATAATAGGTATTATCACTAGTAGGAGTTGTGATGATTATTACATTTTTAAATATATAACTACTACTGCAGTAGTAGTACCAGCTATTACCACTATTACATTTGAATTAAATTATTAATGTTTAAATATTTAAAGCTAATATTTCAAAACAAATTATTTTCTCATTATTATTATTATTATTATTAATAGTAACAATTATTATTATTATTTTATTTGTTTTTGTATATATTTAAAATTATTATTACATTTTATGTTTTTTAAATATTTAATCTAATCTAATCATTATTATTGTTATTTTTGGTATTTACGTATTTAAACGTACACAATTTTAAATACTTTTTAAAATATTAATTATAAAATCTCATTTATCATTATATTATTATTATTATTATTTGTTTTATATATATATATATTTAAACATTATTACATTTTGTATGTATTTAAATATGAAATATTTAATCTATTTTATTGTTTTTATAATAACATAATTTTAAAAAATTATGTTTTTATTATTTATAAAACAATTTAATATTGGTTCTGCATATCGATAATCAGACATTTGACCATATAAATAATCAGTATATAAAATAAGCAATACGATCTTCCAATCATTTAATCAGTTTCCTGATTCACTTTTGCTCTAAATACAACGTTTTTTTTTGTTTGTTTTTTTTACTTTTAAATAGTTTTTATACTGATATAATGATGTCCAGGTGGCATTACTTGTTTTGATCCTCCAGGCTGATAAATACACTTGCCCAGCTTCCAGACAGCCGGCAGCAAATGAAGCTTCATGTGTTTTTGGACCAAATGTGTTGGTTCCTTGAAGCCCTGTGCCTCTGTTAGACCTTGTAAAGAAGATAAATGCGACTGCATGTACTGTATATATTTGTACATTCACATGCATCAGATCATTGTTGGGGTGTGTTTATGTCTGCATTTACCTTCAGTTCATTGTCTGAAGTGCCGTGTGTGTGTGTGTGTATAAGGGGTGTTATTGTTTACACTGTGTGTGTGCGTCTGATGGAGACGGTGAGTGCGTTCTCGCCTCCTCAGTGTTTGGCCCGTATCCCCCCAGGCCCGTGTCAGTAATGGGCGCGTGCTGATTGCTCTAATACAGGTTAGGAATATTGCCTTTAATGATGTGTAAAATGAGCAAACGCTGCCGCTGACATTTACAGATGGCACAGGCAGGTCTGGTTCCTCCCAGCTGCCCGTTAATTCTTAGACACCAGCTAGCATCTCTATAGGCCCAGACCTGTTTAGTGTACTAGCGCACATGTGTTGGATTCAAGATTGTCACCCATTGGAGTTTGTAAAGCAGCACACACGCGCACACACCTTGACTTAAACCCCTCGTGGCTTTGCGCGGCTCTGATGTGATGGATTTGTGGTTGCGTGGCTGTGTGCTCTGACAGAATAGCAATCGGGTCACACTGGCAGGTCCAGATGTGGTACTGGAGCAGGCGTCTGACCCAGAGGGCGTTTGGACTAGAATCATCTGCTTTCATTAGATGGGATGCACTTGAGCAAATGTTGGCAATTCCTTTTCCTCTCCTTCGTTCTCACTCTCTGTGCTAATTTGCTTTAATTTTTTGTGTATTCATGTTGCTGAAGTAGATCTCACCTTAAAGATCAAAATCGACCCTGTTTAGTGTTTCAATAAAGGTTACTGGTCTTATTGTGCGTGATTTCAGTACATACACTGTAAAAAAAATTCCGTAAAATTTACGGTAAAAAACCGGCAGCTGTGGTTGCCTGAATTTTATCGTAAAAAATATGGTAGCAATGTTTTAGGTTTTACGGTTTTAACTTAAATTTACAGTTAAATACCGTAATTTCATTAACTGATATAATGTTAATATACCAACCTACTGAAGTACAGAAATCTGTTTTGTACCTTTGTAATACACCGATAACAACCAAAAGCAGGTAGTGATGAGAAAGTCACATTATGAACCAAAGCCCATCACAAGCAGCTTTTAAATAATAACATATATAGAAGGTGCACAGTGTCATTCACACAAACACTAAACACCATCATGGTAACTCTGTGTGTGTGTGTGTGTGTGTCTGATGGAGACGGTGAGTGCGTTCTCGCCTCCTCAGTGTTTGGCCCGTATCCCCCCAGGCCCGTGTCAGTAATGGGCGCGTGCTGATTGCTCTAATACAGGTTAGGAATATTGCCTTTAATGATGTGTAAAATGAGCAAACGCCGCCACTGACATTTACAGATGGCACAGGCAGGTCTGGTTCCTCCCAGCTGCCCGTTAATTCTTAGACACCAGCTAGCATCTCTATAGGCCCAGACCTGTTTAGTGTACTAGCGCACATGTGTTGGATTCAAGATTGTCACCCATTGGAGTTTGTAAAGCAGCACACACGCGCACACACCTTGACTTAAACCCCTCGCGGCTTTGCGCGGCTCTGATGTGATGGATTTGTGGTTGCGTGGCTGTGTGCTCTGACAGAATAGCAATCGGGTCACACTGGCAGGTCCAGATGTGGTACTGGAGCAGGCGTCTGACCCAGAGGGCGTTTGGACTAGAAGCATCAGCCTCCATTCGATGGGATGCACAATTCGTTTTCCTCTTCTTCATTCTCGCTTTCTGAGCTAATTTGCATAGATTTTTGGGGGCTTTTCAGGTTGCTGGAACAGATCTCAAATTAAAGACCAAAATTGACCCTAGTTAGTGTTTCAATAAATGTTATTGGTCTTATTGTGCATGATTTATCAGTACATATTATTCAAAAGAAAAAAAATGCTTTATTCCTGATGGATGCAGTCAAGTTCCAGAAATGAATACTGAATGCATTAAATTGATCAAAAGTGACATTAAAGACTTTTATTTATGAAAAGATTGCTGTTTTCAACATTGATAATAAGAAGAAATGTTTCTTGAGCATAAGTTAGCATATCAAAATGATTTCTGAAGGATCATGTGACACTGAAGACTGGAGTAATGATGTTGAAAATTCAGCTTTGCATCACAGGAATAAATTACATTTGAACATATATTAAAATAGAAAACAGTTATTTGAAGTTATAAAAA